AAGAATATTTCCACCGAAAACGACACTACCCAAATTTTAAATCACACGATCCCCCTATCAGAGAAATTAAAAAGAAAAATTATAATAAATTGTAATAAAAAATGGAACCCAATTCCAAGGACACCGTGACGAGAGAGTCTTTGCAATCGGGAGGTTAAGCAACGAAATCATTTCACCAGGCGTCTCTCTTGCACCGTAGCGAGCGTTGTAAGAGCAAGAAAAGGGGGCTGCAAAGCGTGCAATAAGTCCAAGGGACACCCTCGACAGATTTACCGGAAGGAGATCGAGAGGGAAGAAATCAGGAGAGGTAAATACGCGTGGTGAGAGAGTCCATGGATAAGAAGCAATCGAATCGAATAGTGGAACTCGTGGAATCCGCAATCCGTCGCGAAGTGAATGGCGAACGCCTAAGGGTTTCTATGGCCGGGTATGCCCGCCGTCTGTTCTTCTGTCCGTCGACCTAACCTAACCTAGCCGGAACTTCAGATTAATGTGGTAATCGCTGAATCAGCAAAAGACACGACAGGCGACTGCGAAAAGGACAAGGGACCTTCCTCGTGGCTTCGATACTTTTCTCATCGAACGAGCAGTCAACGGAATCTGACATGTCTGGCGATAAACATCAGCAACGTGGCAGAGACGAGAAGATACTTTAGTCATGGATAGAGATTAGAAACGGCTCGGCTAATGAGTTTCATCGGACTTTAGTCGGCTTTCCATCGGCCAGAGAACTGTTGGGATGAGAAAATTGTAAAATACATTCATTCTTGGAAAATTGATGAAAATTTTCAAATATATTTGAGTAAAAACAGAGTTTGGTCGATGTGGATACATGAAGATATATTTTGGATGTAAGATGGGTTAGGTTGAGTTTGGAATTTTTTAAATAATTGAGAAATTGTGTGTTTATATATGCAGCTTTCACAATCTCATATACGAGTGTTGAAATTAAATATTTGGAATGATAATGGTGTACATAACAAGAAGGAACTCTTAGGATGATATCAGAAAAATTAGAAAATGTTAGAACGATGTATACTATGTATTTAGAGTATTGAACAAATGAAATTAAATATTTGGAATAATAATGGTGTACATAACAAGAAGGAACTCTTAGGATGATATCAGAAAAATTGGAAAATGTTAGAACGATGTATACTATGTATTTAGAGTATTGAATAAATGTAGTGTTCATCGAAATCGTCGTTAATTTTAAAAGAAGTAGTTGTAGTATAATATTGACCCGTGTTTCGTTACCCGCGGCAGCCTTAAGACGACGTTGCTCTTAACTCACTAGCGCCACCACGGCCCGTATCTACGACACGTGTCTCCTAAATACCCTGCACGTCGTTGAATCGCTTTCTAACCTTACCGATATAATCTTCCAATTTCATTCTCATTGCATACGCTATACCCTAGTAAATATTTCAATCATCCTGTAAAATAAAATTAAAAAGCCGTTCGAAAAATCTCATTCCGATCATAGCGATTAACCAAACAACCCACACGCTGTGGAAAAAGCAACAAATAGAAATAAAACTAAAAACACGGATAAAAGAATCGACGAATCGGCGTAAAAATGAAGCGGACAATATCGAACTACCTCGATCGATGGGACTAAAAACGTTCGTTGTAAATAATCGCGATTGGAGGAAAAAGCAGCAATAACAGGATACGTTTCGATACGACGGATATACGTGCGTGTATCGTGCAAATAAATACTCGGCCAAGGGAGCAGGAAGGAAAGAAGGGTTGAAGCTGTGCCAGTCACGGAAGAACCTCGCCGGTACGCGGAGTAAGTGCAATAATACCAGATTATTTGCATCGCAAAGCCGTGCGTATGGGTAAACACAATATTCGCTCTCTGCTCGGCTCTGTGAACCGATAGTGCGCTCAGGTAGATACGCATCCGTCTATAGCGCTCTATGCTCGTCTCTGTCCCACCCTTTGCAACCCCTATCCACCGTCTTCCTCTCGCTGGCGCATCCATCGTTCTCTGTTTCGTTCACCCTCTGCACCCTGCCTCTCTTTCTCACCTTTATCGTGTTCCGTGTCTATCGTCGTATCACTCCATCTCCCTTGCCTTCCATCTCTGTCTTCATCCATCTGTTTCGCGCTCGGGTCTTCGTCCCTCTCTGTATGTACCACCGCGGCGTAATACAGATTCTATTTGAGCTGCCTGAGGGAAGTTAACTCGTGATGCGTGCAGCTCGGCTCGCTCTGTTGGCGATACTACGGATCCCATCGTTCTCCATTTCGAGGCTGCAAATCCAAGGACCTCCCAGGGATCTCGCGACCTGCACGCCTACGATCGCTGTCGATTTTCACGATCGCTCCTACCCTTCCGCGTCCTCCATCAGCCTTCCCGGACACCTCTCCGAGATTTCATTTTCTCCCTTTTTTAGGCTAACGATTGTCCCACGGATTTCATCCATTGATTTTCATCGATATTCCTTGGTACTGGAAACGGAAAGATGGGTTTTCGGTCCTTTGTTTCTATTTTTTCCAGAGTTTCGATTTTCGAATTTGTAGGTTGTAGGTTGAGTCATACGAGGATTGTGATAGGAGAGTTTTATTGAAGGGCGTTAGAGTCGCAGAATTTATCGAGCATCGTTTTTCCCTTTTTTAGGAATATTGCTTTCGAAAGCAGATAAAGTTAGGAATGTAGTAAAATGTTTAAAATATTTATTTTATCTAAACTAGTTTTACTGAAAATTATTCGAACTTCTAGTCGATTAATCAAATTATTTTATTCTTTTCGTAAAGCATTTTCAAAGATGGATAATACTCTAACCATTAGCATTACGTCCTAGGAATATTGCCTTCGAAACTAGATAAAGTCAGTGCTATAATAAAATATTTAAAATATTCATTTTATATAAATTATTTTTCCTGGAAATTATTCAAACTATCTTGTAATCGATGAACAAAATTATTATATTCCGTTTACACATCATTTCTGAAGATAGAAAATATTCTAACCATTAGCATTACGCCCTAGGAATATTGCCTTCGAAACTAGATAAAATCAGTGCTATAATAAAATATTTAAAATATTTATTTTATATAAATTATTTTTCCTGGAAATTATTCAAACTATCTCGTAATCGATGAACAAAATTCTTATATTCTGTTTACACATCATTTCTGAAGATAGAAAGTATTCTAACCATTAGCATTACGTCCTAGGAATATTGCCTTCGAAAGTACATAAAATCAGTGTTACAATAAAATATTTATTTTATCTAAACTATTTTTCCTGGAAATTATTCAAACTATCTTGTAATCGATGAACAAAATTATTATATTCCGTTTACACATCATTTCTGAAGATAGAAAGTATTCTAACCATTAGCATTACGTCCTAGAAATATTGGCTTCGAAAGTAGATAAAATAAAATATTTAAAATATTTATTTTATCTAAACTATTTTTCCTGGAAAGTATCTAAACTGCGTTCTGATCCATGAACCAAATTATTTTATTCTTTTCGTGCATCATATAGACAATACTCTAACTACTGGCATTATATCCCAGGAATATTGGTTTTGAAAATAGATAAAGTCAGTAATGTAACAAAATGTTTAAAATATTTATTCCACCAAAACTATTTTTCCGAAAAGTCTCCAAACTGTCTTCTAATCTACGAACGAAATTATTTTATCCTTTTCGTGAATCATTAGAAAATATTCTAATCAATAGCATCACGTCCTCTTAAATATTCTACAATATTATCAATTTCCAAATCGATATAATTTCATTTTTTAAAATATTCGTATCACAGAAGTCGCGACAAGATAACAAAATAGGGTACACTTTAATATCGCAAATAATTGAATAATTACCCATCCAAGCCTATTAACCGAAAATTTTTCTAAACCTGGAAAAATAGCTTGCACCCCTCTCCCAACATCCGAGGCTCCTCGTGAGACGTCTCGTAGGACGAGTCACCCAAAGGTACCAAAGGCAACACGTCGCCGCTGTGGAAGTTGCAGGTGAGCTGGAACGTTGGAAAACGGGTATCGATACCCAGAGCCGCGTCTGTACGACAGGTTCTATTAGTACGTAACGCCTGGTCCTTTTGCCGTGCCGCTCAAAGCAAAGCAGCCCCCGGAGTGTTACAATTTCGCCCTCTCTCCACCCCCGGCCCGCCTCGAAAGTCCCTTTATCTATCCCGCTATTTTCCTAACTCCGACGTCCCCTCCGGGGGTTTCTCCTCGTTCGTGGTGACGACAACGATTCCTCTTCTCTCCTGAAGGAGGATGTGGAGGGAGCGCGCCGGATCTGCCGGAATACCGGCCGCTGGAGGGAGGCGAGCACCGCCACCCCGTCATCCCCTTCGCGAGGGGTTGAAATGCCCGCCCATTGGTCCGCCCATGTAGGACCAAAGCAGTCACTTCGAATCAATTCGACCCACGATTTCGCCTCGTAGACGGTCCTCCACGGCGCTGGCACACTCGCAATCGCGCTTCATAAGCTTCGACCGCATTTCGTACACCTAACCTCGTCGGACGCGATCCGTCGAGAGCGACGTTGCTTGTATAGACTCGATAATCGCCGATCGGTGTGACAACTGTGCTCTGGATCTAAGGATAAGATCGGACTGATCGTTTGCAGACCGCTGCGTTTTACTCTTCATCCTCTACTTCCACAGCAGTTGGAGGGAAAAGTGAGTTGCAGGTTGCAGGTTGGAGGGAAAAGTGAGTTGTTGTTCGGTCGGATCAACAAGAGAGAGATCGTCGGAGGCTGTTGAAGCGTGATCGATAAGCGAGCATGAGAGAAAATCGTGATGGTTAGCGAAGATCCCGGGAGAGAGAGAGACGATCGTTAGCGATAAAGTGGAGTGCGTCACTGAGACCGTCATCCTTGAGATACAGCCTCGGCTGAGTGGTGACACGGAGAACGGGCGAAGAAAAAACCCTCGTTATCGTTGTGGAAACAAACTATTAGCGTAAGATAGCAATTCGTCGGAGCTCGCGTGTGTGACAGTTGCCTCGCGAAAATATGTCGGAAGAGGAACGCTCGTGCGGTCTCGTTCGGTGGCTTTGAACGTCGTCGGAGATCGTCGGACCTCGTTACCGGTGGGGCGGTAAACGAGAACAAGAAAGGAGAAACAAAGAGCAAGAGACATCAAAGAAGAACCCGCTTGGGAGTGAAACGCGCGCGAGTGTCCACGAGTGTGCATGCATCGCGATCGTCGGGCGAACGAGGCGACACCAAGCATGAGGAAGAACGAGTACCTGCAGCTAGACCCACTGGCCGCCGAGCATTGAAGTTCATCGGAAATCGACGCCTAAATGTGCCCATGAAGCGATCACGATGGAACCGCGTGGGATGATGATGTCGAACCTGTCGTGCGACGGCTGCGCGGACAGCGACCGCGATTCCGACAGCAGCAGCATGATCGTGGACCCGGTGAGTCTGGACAAGAACGACCTGTCACCGTCCCAGTCGTCATCCAGCCCAATCATACCCAGTTCCCCCGTGCCACCCACCACCGCGTCCTCCAGGAACCGTGGAGGCAGTCGTAGCAAGAAGAACTACTCGATGATGTCAGCCAACAGTCAACAAAAGTCCAACTCGTCCGGTCAGGCGTCATCCTACGGCAACGACAAGATGTCCTCGTCGTTGATCAAGCCTCCGTACTCGTACATAGCCCTGATCACGATGGCGATCCTCCAATCCCCTCAAAAGAAGCTGACACTCAGCGGAATCTGCGAGTTCATCATGTCACGTTTCCCGTATTACCACGACAAGTTCCCAGCCTGGCAGAATTCCATCAGACACAACCTGTCCCTCAACGACTGCTTCATCAAGATACCTCGCGAGCCAGGTAACCCTGGGAAAGGGAACTACTGGACTCTAGACCCACTGGCCGAGGACATGTTCGACAACGGAAGCTTCCTGCGTCGCAGAAAGAGGTACAAGAGGCCTCCGCCGCACTATGTGCTGCGGGACAGAGCGATCATGGCGACCTTCGCCATCTGTGGCGACCGAGGACCTTGTCCCGGCGGCGGTGGCGGTCATCCTGGCGCTCTCACCTATCCCAGCGCCACGTACTTGTCTCCACCACCTGGTCTGCCCTTACTAGACTTCTCTTCGTCGAGAGCCTTGGAGGCTCTGAGGCTCAGCGGCTTCCTGGAACCGCCGCCACCGTTGTACAAACCGGTACCGATCACGGCGCCGCCGATCAGGCAGCTCGACCCCGCGCCCACGAGGACCACCACGATACCCAGCAGCCATCCGCCGGCTGACAAGAAGAGGAACTTCAGTATCGATGCTCTGATCGGGAAACAGGCAGCCAGTGACCAGAACTGCGGCGGTCTGCTGGACCTCAGCCCGTCGGAGCATAGAGAGATCAGGAGTCAGGCGTCGGCTTTCTCTCCTCTGGTCTAGAGGCATGTGAAGCAGTCTTCGGCTCATTTCGAGAACTCGAGACAGCGAGACGGATGTCGCGAGAGGAGCCAGTTTCCCGTCAAGGGAGCCTCCGATGGAACTGTTTCTGAAGATTCGCGATGGTCTTTGACAGGACGTGGGTGCAGGTCAGGCTGCTTTGGATGGGACTGAAGGTAAATAGGGATACTGTCGGGACGAAGAGTGTCTAGGGATTCTTTAGGGTATGTTTCGCTTGCATCTCGCCGCGAGAACAATCGGATAGAACAGTGATAGTAAGGAAAGTGAACGTCCAGGACTCTCGGAGACAGCTCGATACCAAAGAAATGGCGACGGATGCCTCTAGTGTCGCCCTATGCCAAAGATTTCAACTCCTACGTACTCGTGTGAAAATGGGAAGATACGGGAAGAGGGACAGAGAGACGAGGGACGTGCACGGAGTCGATTAATTGTAAAAAGGTGTAGTGCAATAGTGTAGTGCTTGGGTTTAAGTACGAGAAAGCAACCCCACCGCTGTGTCGAACGATCCTTAGCGACTGTACGTCATCCGAACGATCGATTCCCCGCGAATCGAACTTAATAATTCTCCCTCAGCCATCCTCGTTATTTTCATTATTTCTTTTCCTGCCTTCTATTCTTAGCCGAAGGAATAGCCTGCTGCGCGTGTTGGCTCGTTTGTAAACGATCGATTAATATCGGCACTGTAAATATACACACGCGCGTATATACGTCACGTACACGCACATATACACACGCATACAGAACCCGGACAAATCTTTGCTCAGCTTTCTATTGTTTGCGAGTGAGAGAAAACGAGAGGATGAAAGAGAGAGAGAGAGAGAGAGAGAGAGAAAGAGAGCGAATGAAAGGGAGAGAGAGGGTGGCAGAGAGCGACAGAGAGGGCAGGTCAGTTCTCTTCATCGGATTTAATGTAAAGCTCGGCCGCGTTTTCGGTCAAGTAGACGTTTGGTGTACATAACGTTGCACGAAGCACGGGGAACGCGTTTCAAACAGGGAACACGGCCCGTGTTCTCGTTTGATCGCGCGGGATTATGATTGCACGCGTCACAGAGACGTTAATGGACCTAACGATTCGCAGAACACCGTCTTATCGGGCTTTCGCGAGGAGGCTGCGACTTCTGCAGCGAGAAGCGCGAGCTTGCGATGCGACCATTTTCCTCATCCGTTTCATCCGGGCCACCGAGCGAACGCGCTGGAAACGTGGAGTTAGGCTAGTGGGAATTAAATGGCCGATTCGTGTCTAGAATTTGCCTCTCGTTTACTGGTAATTCGAACATCCTCGTCGAGGAAATTGCAATTAAAATTATTTTAAGCGGAATTCGATTGGTATACATTTTTATTTTCCGTATTCTGTAGCACCACGTGACTTGGATATTGCACATGCATGTACATGCGTACAGGTAAACCTTGTATAGTGACTGGGTTTCGGAAGCATAGTGTAAATAATAATAATAATAATAGTAATAATAATAATAATAATAATAATAATAGGTTCGAGAAATTATTATAAATACCTTATTATGCTTCGTGATTCGTGTAAAATGTATTTATTAAGAGGGTTAATCATTTTTGTATTTGGAAATCGAGGTATAGCAGGGTTTCTCAAATTCTTTTAATTATTAGTATGGAAACTTGTTATATGGGGGTTGCCTGTATTTATATCTGTTTTATTTAAATAGTATTATATGACTGCATCTTGGTAATACGTTGTTATACTAACAATGAATACTCTGTTTATTATTACAACATTTATAGCTTCCAAATTTCAGATTAAACGAATCTCTAATTATATAAATACATTACTCTTAATAAATAAATTATTAATAAATTAAAAATAAATTATTCTTTTAAATAAATTTTAGCCACAGAGGTTAATTAATTTATGAACAATATTGTCCCATTTTTTAAATATTTTAATGATCTTCGACTGGGAATTTGTAGAAAAATTCTTTTGTTTCTTCAAAATTACAAGTGTGATGGAAGAAGATGCGTGGCAGTTAAATTCGGCATTTTGTTTCTGGTTGTATCGTTGTATTGTCCCATTTATTGTTCAGAGATGCGTAATTATTTATTGGTAATAATTATATGGTCGCGAAAATTATATTGCGAGTTTCTTCTTGATAAAAATATTATTAAATGTATATTTGACTCGGCCATTTATTTCTCAGTGACATAATTGCAAGCTTGGATACACCGTGAGAGTTGCTTCATCGTTTAATGAGATTTTCAGAGATTAACCATTTTTCTCCCTTATTTATGCCTTTGATTCGAACGTTGGAATAATTTGAAACAGTTTGCCTTTGTAACCGTTTAAACGATACACGAAGCAACTAATTCTAACTTTATTAAAAACAGAATGCGACGAACTGCTTTAAAAATTAAACACCGGTGTACAAAATTTCATTTCGAAACGCTTGTGTCAATGAGTTTCCAAATATTCCAAGCAAACCCGACCGATTCGACGAATAAAATTAATAAAGAATATTCTAATATCGATACCAAGCATCACGATCTGTAAAATTAATTTTCAAAACCATCGTCGTTTAATTCATCAAAAAATTAATAACGAAACGAGTAATAAAAATAATTCATCGCGTCAAAATTCACAATTCTCCGCAGATTCGAAAATTCGCGATTCGAAATTTGTATTCGAAACTTGTTACACGCAGGACGTGCAAATTAATTGCAAAAGGAATTTTGATCCTTCGATTTTAATTTCCGACGTTGCAACGAAGAGAGATTCTTTTTCGGGAATTTTTCGGAAAATTCTCTGAAAAAGGCGTAATTACTCGCGAATAAGGAAAAGAGAAGCACACGGTCTATTTCGAGCGTGCATGCACGCATGTGCACTGATCCACGGGAAAAGGGAATGGAATAATTTACAATTAATCCCCGAGAAGATACGCATCCATGACGGGTACGTGTGTGTCAGTCCACACATGTGCTCACACACAGGCCGCTAGTGAATTTTCCTCGAATTGTACAATGACAATTGCGAGATAAGAGTTATTGCACGAGAACGTAACAGCGTTTGTGCAACGAATCGGGTCGCATCTATTTCGTTGATCAGAAAAGAGGAAACGAATGTTCATCAGCTTCGTCGATTTGGAAGTAATTGAATTATTTATTTCAAGATGGTGTATCGTTGAATTGTAATTGTGAAATCAACGAATGCAATTTCTAATTTGTAACAAATTTTCGTATTTTTCGTTGTTAACGTCTGGTGCATTGGAGAATGGAAATTTGTAACCAAAATGTTCAAAAATTTTTGAGTATTTTGTGATTTTAAAGGGTAAATTGGAAAATTTGGTTTTTGATAATACGAAAGGGTGTTCTTGGAAGTAAGGGTAAATTATGTTGAAGAATGTTGAAGAATATTGAAGTATGTGTAGAGAAATAATATTTAATTTCAAAAATATTTTGTAGCACTCAAAATTGGTAACTAAGGTTGTTCGAAAGTTTCTAAAAATGCTGTTGGAGAATATTCGAGGGTATTAAAGAATATTATTCGAAAAATATTTGACAGTATTTAATGGTATTCCATAATTCAATTCAATATACAAAAATATTCAGATGTACTCGAGAATATTATTTAAAAATGTTCAGAAATCTTAGTATTCATAGTATTCAAGACTACTGAAAATTATTCGTACACTATGCATAGAAGATATTCCAAGGATCTCAAAAATATGGATATCGTTCAAAACTATAGAAGATTATAAAACACTATATGCAATATTCAGAGATTCATGAAAATATTCAAGTGCACTCCTTGTAAGTACTACTCAAAAGTATTTAAAACTACTCGTACATGATGTACATAATATACAAGAATATTCAAGGTTTCTCGAAAATATCAATATTATTCAGAATTATCCAAAATTGTTCACAATTATGGAGTACAAGGTACAAGAACATTGTCAAAAAATATTAAAATAATACAAAAAATATTTAAAAATATTTAAAAATTATTCAAACACATTTAAGAATATTTATGAATTTTTAAAAATATTTAAAAATTATTCAAACAAATTTAAGAATATTTATAAATATTTAAAAAATATGTAAACAAATTTAAGAATATTTTTAAATATTTAAAAATATTAAAAAATATTCAGGCAATACTCAATTGAAAAGTAAAGAAAAAATAATAAAAAATTTTCAAGAAATACTGAAAAATGTTACCAGTAACGGATACCAAAGCATCTAAGACTGAAAAATTAATGCTCCACAACGATATCCGAAGTCACTCGATTATAAAGAATCTTATGAAAATTCTTTACACGCTCGCTTCTTCCTTCCATTTCGTTTCGACATCGAACCCAGAAGAATACTCTCCTCAGCTGAATGAGAATGGTACGTGTGACCCGCACGGCACGTGAAGAGTTAAGCCAGAAGCAGCGAAACGCTCTTTCGTGTTTTCAATTCGTTTCAAGGCTCCACAAGGCGGGCAGGATTCGCGGTTGTTTTCGTTATCGTCTCGTTTATATAGAACTGATTACATAGCCGATTCCCGCGTGTTTTCGCGCCGTGAATGATGCCCGCCACGATAACGAAAATCATTGTTCCAATAGCGAAGAGCTGGCAGCTCTTTCAGTTGAATCGTCGAAATATCCAAAGAGCGATTAAGCGATAAAAATAACAAAGAAAATTCGTATAATTCGTAGCAGATTTATATCTTCGATACCCTGCCAATTATTCGAGCATATCCATTTTCCATAGCACCATTCGACATTTTTATTTTCTTAAAATTTCAAATTACAATTGAAGTTATGTTCATTATAGCGTAGAATTTGTTAACAATTTTTGATACTGTTTGATGAAATGAATTAACCCTCTGTAATTGAAATTCGTTTTGTCTGTGACAGAAAAGATTCTAATCGATTAGGGTTCCTCGTTTCGATTTCAAAATTAATAATTAATAATTGGATATGTGCCAAAGCTTGGTTTTATATATGTATATTATAGAATTGAATTTTTTA